GATGATGGAGACAATAGAAGGGGCTTAGCCTCACCACTGTCTCTCATTTTCACCATAGCTCGGTACCTGGTACCCCATTTGGTCCGGGTTGTTTTGACTGTCCTTTTCGAATCCTATGATTCGACGCAGTTGCAAACCAGTCACTAACTTAGTACCTCGCGACCGTTCCAAACCTACTCACTTCTCGTATGTGGCATCAGGCTTTGCCACAGTTTCCATGGTAGCATACGATTTCTCTAGACAAAGACTACATCATGCGATTCAAGCCCAGGAGTGGAGGCGGCGCCGGGTAATCTTCAATTACGGTACCAGGTACTGCACAGTGCGGGTGAGAGAGAACAAATATTTGATTAGGGGGCGTTTTTGACCGATCGGGCATCGGGGGATAGCCCTGTCTACGCCCTACGCGAGGCTATATATCCCCAATTTTTCGCATCATCATACTGTATATCGGTGGCAATCATCCGCAAAAAATGAAAACCGTATACCTATATGCCGACGATGACAGCGCACCGCACGACGACTATAAAGTATAATGACTAAATTAATGCTCCAGTTTCACACCCTTACACTCTTGATATGAGGCAAACACCCTGCCTCATATGAGGCATTTCTGACTGAGGAACGAAGTATTGACGGCGTCTTTCATGCGACATTATTACAGAGCGACGTACACGTCGGTGTACCGGCAGTGTCAAAAGTTCTCTCATCTTTCTGCGGTACCACCAAAACGACATCAGTCCGCAGTCCTTATTTGTTTTGAGAAGGTTTTGCACCTGTCACAATAAGATGATATGTGATTCCACACACATGCAATACTGTTCTCATCATCACCCATGTGTGGGCGTGGTTGACCTATTTTGAAGATTCGATCACAGTTTCTTTGCGAAGGTTTTGCACTTCAGTAGCAAGCCTACACCAATCCTACACCAATGCTGTCGGAATGTCTCAGTTTCTCCTCCTCACAATAATTCATTTGTTTGGGAAGACCAACTTCATTGACCCGAGCAAGTTTGCAAGAATCATGGACCACCCTTACCACCATGGGAGTAAAGACCAGAGAAACGCCTTCGATGAGCTCGAGCTGAAGGACGACCCCGAGATTGAGGCAATTGAGAGCAACGTGAATCTGGAGATGGAGGGGTTGCGCAGGGCAATTGCGGGTTGCAAGTCGAGAGGACGAAAATATCAACAAAGCAAGAATGCTGCAATGGAACGACATGCCAGCCTGACCGACGAAATGCAACGTTACAGCAGGGACTTCCAGGTCTACCTTTTGCGTACGAAACGCATGTTGGCCCTCATAGAAGACAACGTTGGGGAGCTTGACAGCGATCTCCGAATCAATCAGAACGAAATATCTGAGTTGCGAAACGCTTCGGAAGCAAAGCGCCAGTTGTCCGATGCCATTGACGTCATGAGGTGAGTACCTTGCTTTACATTTTGTTTGCGATTCTTCTGCCATCAGGTTAGCTCATTCTTGATCCGCGAGATGACCAATTAGGAGAGGACGTTTGTATTCAAACATGAGCGAAGATCCGCCTGCTGCTATTCACCGTCTCCAGTACCAAGATGATGCTGGCCGTAAGCAAGCTCCCAATGGAGACAACTGGGGCAACCCCGGTGCTGCTTAAAAGAGCAATCCGTAGCTCCGATTGTTCTCTGATTCAATTTCATTTCTTTGAATTAGAAATCAAGCATCATCACTCTTTGTGGATTTCTGTCGTCAATCATGTCACATCACAGTATAAAATGATAGAATCTTTATTTTATTGCACTATTAGGCTATATCTGTAGTGCTGGCACTATACCGTCTCCCACGGATTTTCAATCGGGTGCAGCGGAATTCTCTGCTTCTATCGTCTTTGATGCTATCATTTATGGTTGATGTTGCTGGTAGCTCAAAATCAAATTCATCAATCCCAAGGACTAATTCTGTATCGCTATGCGAATGCGACAGTTTTCTCGGTACTGTTGGTGTAGTTCTCGTCCGTGATACCGAGGGTGAAAGCTTTCATTTGCATGGTTGGGGGGATGAAGGCACATCGAGATACAATATTCAAGGCGAGATAGGGAATCAATTGGGTAATAGCAAAGGACGGACTCTATTCTTGGGCAATCGTAATTCCGAGAATTGACTGCTGGCTTGACGACTTGACGAGCCAATGATCAACACAACAATGCTAGAAAGTTCGGAGAAGCTTGAACAGCCAGTAGGTGGAATGACATGCATGTGGGAGCCCTTGAGCGCCGGTACACGAGTAATGTTGCTCTTCGTAATATTCGTGGGCAGATATAATACCTGGTACACAATTGTGATGGAATGGATGAATGAACATAGTTAACAGCAGAATATATGACAACCGACTGGAGCAACTTATTAACTTCTCTTTCATGTCATCGAAGTAAATCCAGTGCGTATCAATCGATCTTACCTTTGGAATTTCATGCATGCACTACCCATCCAATCCCTTCTTGCTTTGCCTATATAGTGCTCTGGCGGGTTTCCAAACTTGCTTGGTAGACACTTGTATCCAACAAATCCACGGCATTGGACGCCATTTCCACGTGACAAGGCTCTCATTATCTTATTCCAAGCGCTATACAGCTATGTCGGACGATTGCTATCAAAATTCCATCTGTGAATGGGCATCAATGGCAACCGATCTTAGAAAACTGTCAATCTCTCTGTTCAGAAATCGCGACCATGACATGGTTCTATCTTGGCCAAGACGTGGAAGATTCTGCTCGGACCACCACCAATAGCTCGTCACAATATAGTAGAATAATTTTGTCCCGTAGTAGTGTTGGCTTCTGTTGACTTGTGACACACAGTGACGCTCAGACCGATTCTTCGCGGCGTTGAGTTAGACTTCCAAAGCAATCGGTCAGTTCTCGATGAATGTTGATTCAGTAGTTCACAGACCAATTCAAATAGTTTTCCAAGAGATTGCTTTTCTTAGGCGAGTGAATTTTGATTTGCTCCCTGGTTGCTGGGGCATAGAGCTTCATAACCAAAATCCATTGTCCTTGTTTCCTGACAGTCCTAAATATTTTAAACATCATATACAGTATGTTGCGCGCGGTCAGACACCAGTTTCCCTATCTCTTATCCTCCAAAATGCTAGAATGAATCATGCTTTCAATCAATTTCAATTCAATCGTGTCAATGCACCGGTACACGGGGAATGATGCTCTTAGGAAGCCACATCTCTGGCGACTACGACATCATAACAATTGAAGCATCGATCACCAGTTCGAGTATTGGCCGTCGCAAGTTCCTCAAACTCCTGCAAAATGACCCAAGAATCTGGAGGTCTATCATTTTCCATCCATTCGACTGTACCGGTAGAAGACCACCCCAACCAAGTTCCCCGGGGTTTTTGTAGATTCTCAATGCCGCGGTGAAAAAAGCCTAAGCATTCAGCACTCAGTGTTCGAGGACGAAACAGTGTCCTCCTGCCTGTCTGTAGGTATTTTGGCCCATGATGGCATTCAGGAGCTTGTG